CCCATGGGGAGGGAGGGCATGGGTCAGGGACAGAGACAGGTGCTGCCCAGCCAGGGTAGTGAATAGGACCCCAGCGCTGGAAGTGGGAGGGAGCTGCAGACAGTTCATTTGGGGGGCACAGGGGGCTGGAGAGGGGGCGCAGGGAGTGTGGGCAGCTTCCTGCCACTGTGCACACTCCCAGGGGAGGCATGCGCACACCTGGATTAGTGCGCGGAGCAAGGGAAGGGAAGAAAAGCGCAGTGTCCCAAGCAGGGGCGGTGCTAGGGGGGTTATGGGAAGCTAATACCACCTCATAATTCCCCGTAGCCCATCCATAGCCAACCCCCCAGTGCTGCTGCCATTCACCTGCCCTGCGCAGCTGAGCCCCCCTCCATCCCCACCCCACCCCACCTGGCAAGAGGCTGGCACAGCCCCTGGCCCTGAGGCCACAGTGGGCAGCCTGCCCCTTGCCCTGCACATAACTCCTGGGGGGGGGGCACATAACCCCCCATGTCTAGCCCAGAGGTGTGTGCAGCAGCAGGGAGCTGCCCACACCCTCCCACAACCCTGTACACCCCCCAGACAAGTCACCTGCAGTTCCATCCCACTCCCAGCCCCAGGGTCCCATTCGCTGCCCTGGCTGGGCAACGCCTGCCCCTGCCCCACTCCCTCCCTCACTGTGGGGGGGGCCTTAATCTGAAACGCACCCCCCCTCCCCCCCCCCCCAGACTTACCAGCCAGATGCTGTTCTCCAAGCTGCTGGGCTGCATTCCTGTAAATCAGTTATTGGGTTGATATTGGCCGACAGCTGGTTAATAATCAGCTATCAGTATCGGCCAAAAAACTCTATCAGTGCAGCCCTAATTGTTAGGTGGGCAAACACCTATGTTCAAGTTACAAGATAAACCCAGAGATTTCAAATAGGAATCCATAACGTCAAAAGCGTTCTGACTTGTTGTGGTCTTCCTATGCTTTTTCTCTACACTGAATTCTTTGCAACACAAAAAACTGCTCTTATTTTTCCAGTTAAGAAATGAGTGAACACTAAGAGCTGGCGTTTTGAGGGGTGCTTTAAGTCTACCCCAGTTAAGAACCACTTTATTAGACAGATGTGTGAAGCTCTGTCTTGAGATAAATTTGGGGGCATTTCATTGTTGTTGCTAAGGTTATAATGAGGTCTACTGCTTTTAAAATTCATAAGACAAGTAATACTGATCAACTGTCCTCGCACCGTACACCAGTAACCTTTGCAGGAAACACAATACACTGTCACTGCTAGTGGGACATCAATGACACTGTAGTTTGAGACTGTTCAAGATTCTTGGGAGATTTTCTGATCAGCTAAGCTACCCCCCCCCCCAAAAAAAA